GCATCCTCGTGTGTTGTACTGGGCATATTTAACAATGCAGCAGCTACTGCATCCTTCTGTGTTGCACTAGACACCTTTAACAATGCAGCAGCTACTGCATCCTCGTGTGTTGCACTGGGCATCTTTAACAATGCAGCAGCTACTGCATCCTTCTGTGATACACTAGGCACCTTTAACAATGCAGCAGCTACTTCCTCCTCCTCTATTGCACTGGCGACCTTTAACAATGCAGCAGCTACTGCATCCTTCTGTAAAGGTTGTATATGTCACAAGTAAGAAACTTATATCACTTTTGTTGTGCCTGATCACTCCCTAAAGGTGGTAAGCCGATTTCAAGATGAGACACAGATACTTGTAGAAACAGGTGAACGTTTTGGAAAAGCCTCTCATTCCAGCATTAAATGACAAGGGAAAATGGTAAGCCAGCCAGTGAATATGAACTCACAGAAACACTTGTGTATAAAGATTTGTTTCAACTGTCCATTTGTACTTGTTTCTTTCCCTTTCAGCTCTTTTTTTATTTATTCCTTGCATAATATATTTGGAATTTACATTCTTACGAGTACTTTAAACTTATCTATTGGATATTGGTGTACCTAAATGTCACAGACTCGTAAAAAGTAACATTTTGGTTCCGTAATAAAGGATTTGTTTATTCCGAGTTTATTTTGAACGGGTTTCTTCTTCTGTTTGAGTTTCTGATACCTGTAACATTTGATAACTGTTATGACAGAAGATCATTTGGGAGCTATGAGTGCATTCAACCACAATACTCCTGGGAATAGTATGACTGCCTGTACTTTTAGCAAGTAAAATCGGTCATCCTTGACGTGTTTGATTGACTTGAGGTTTGACCCATAACATTTAGTGACACCAAGAGTTAGCATGTCCAACCCACAAAATGTAGTTACATTTCACATATATCAAGCACAATATGTAGTTAAAATGTTCCCTAACTATAATATTCAGTCAAATTTGGTATGTCCTACTTCAGAAATTAACTTTATAATGCTGCATCCACAACAGCCATGTAGTCACAGTTCAGATATCTTATCCACAAAAGTCAGTCACATCTGATATGTCTATATATCGTATTCAGTCACACTTTATGTCTTATTTTCATCATCCATCACATTCGACATGAAACATCCACAATAAACAGTCACACTTATAGTTTCACAACCACAAAATCTGCAAGTGTTCACGGCATATCTTATTTTGCTTAAATTGTAGAAATTACGAAGCATGTCACAAAACATTATAAGTTACTGTTCTTTATTAGATTTTAAAGTACCTTCTTTATTCAATTGTCAGACTTTCCCTTCAAATGTCATAACGCAAACCACATTCTTTGAGCTCGCGCATAGGTGTTTTAGGGATATTTTTCAAACTCTTACCTATTTATATAAACTGATTAAAAGCCCCTCAAGTTTGCTGAAGTTTAACTAGTTTGCATATATTTAAAAATGTTTCATGTTACATTATCTATAAAATCATAACAAACACCTTAATGTGCGGACTATCTCCATATATTTTTATATCAATGAAAACGAATGCCACTTAATTAGGTTAAACTATTTTTACATCCTACCTTGATGGAATCATAACAGGCTATAACTCGGCCATTTTGGACTTCTATATTAGGGGGCGGATGAGCAAATTTACACTCCGTATCGGGACGAGTGCATTTATTCCTCTGGTATTCTCGGCACACTTCGAGCTGCAGCCAGCGGGAATCTTTTATGTTGTTTATCATGGCCATCATCACTGGCTGGGTCCGAGTATTCAAATAATTTTTAACGGGTTCTGAACAACAACAACAGTTTTTCTAATATGTCTTAAATATACTTGTTGGTGAATCAAGGACTGGTGAGGTTGAAAATTCTTGACGTTTTTGTTATTATTTCAAGTTTAATCTTTCTTTCCAAACACTTGATGTATCCTTAAATGGACAATGTGATGCAGAATGTTCTGGATACGCTAACACTTGTGACACAAGAGAAAATACACGGTTAGTTTTCCTGTGCAATATTTTCTTACCCAAAACAAATCACAGAAAATTGCGACGGATCAATTTGAAATATATATATGAAACATAAGAGTAAGACTTTCAGTGGTTAGAGCACGAGTTTATTTTGTAGAAAAAGGTTACTGAATAAGTATATTTTGGCTTTTTTAGGAGTTGGGCGGCTGCAGTAGGACAGGAGCTGAGAGTAGGTGGACGGGCAGCAGGGATTCTATTTCTGGAGTAGGTTAGTCCTGAAATACAAACAAAAGCATCTTTGTAGTTTATTCGTTATATTTTCAACAACTGAACTTTTTAAAAATTTTATATCCACAAAATGTTCCACACAGTAGAATACCGCGATTCATAAAATAAATTAGCCATAAGTACATATAGCTTCTACACACGAGTAAGCTAACGCGTTATTAAAAAGTTAACATAAAATACACAAAACGAAGATAACTCTTTATAAAACATACTGAGCTCAGTATCAGCTTTTTGCAATAGCACAGTGTGAAAGACTAAACAATTTTGTAATTTGATTATTACTGTTCCGCATTAAGTACAAGTACTTTCTTTGTTGTTAGTTTGTTCTCTTGCTACTTATTTTATTGTAAACCCATTTCTTTATAGAGCAATGGACCGAAACCAGAAATTTAGCAATAGCATTATAAACATTTAAGCTTACCATCGATCCAAAGGAAAGGGGAGGTCTTTACTGTAGTTGCGCATTTTATAAATGTCATGTACTTTCGTCATTGTTGCTATGGTCTATAAACACGCAACAATAGCTGTGTCCCGGTGGGTCAGAGGTTATTTTATGGACTTACAATGCTAAAATCCGGGGTTCGATTCCCTACGGTGGAAAGAGCGCAGACAGCTTTGCATTGAAACAAAGAAATACAAACAGTAGCTATCTTCATAGTTATTCACCGATTAACCTAACACTCAACAAACTCTTCCTAAAGAATACACGTGTAACATATACTATAAAACATATATGTGACAGATTACAACTTCAAAGCCTGTTGAAGGACATCTACCCTACTCGTTGCCTTGAACAAACTTCGTGTAACTCATAGTGTAACATGCGAACTTATAATCACTGCATCATTGATGAATTCAGTTTTCTATACAACTAGAGGAAGCGCTTTCCTTAATACTCGGTTCTCTATAAACCTTTATAAAAACAGCCTCTATATACTATTATACTTACATTCTCACTTGCTGTTTATGATGTAGTTTCTTACCGTAAGATAATATTTTTATGTTTAGCAGCACGCATTGACCATTTGTTAATGTACGTACATTTTGTAATAATTTCTAATTTATTGTAGTGATACTAACCTGTAATAGATAACTTCCGCACTGTTCCCGAAAGTGTTCTGTTTCAAGAGTAAGTAAAACCAAAATTAAGAGTAACAAATATTTCTATTTCTTGTTTTTGAAGTTCATATGTCATGCTATGTTGTAGCCTACAGAGTGTATAATTCTTCTCGTGATTCATGGCATGCACACGTTTTACTGACGTCACGTCAGTATAAATTTCAAAGTTAAGCATCCCTTATGTGACGTCATTTTCATGTCTAACGGCTGACTGACAGACAACACACTACTGTATAGAGGTGCGTAGAGTTAAAACAGGTGACCCCTTCAGACGGCTTTCGACCCCCCTTTCTGGGAAATAATAATTAACAATCGTGTAAAAAAAAAATAAGTGGTTTGCAAGCACAGCACAACGTTAGAATATTTGGTAATACCTATATTATGCTGGATAACAGGACATATTTTCTATTTGATGTATTGTCCTTTTCTATAATATTTTTTTATTGAAATTCGTTCTGAATTACTTTATTGGTTGTCGTTCAAAATTAGGCCCGGCATGGCCAGGTGGTTACGGCACTCGACTCGCAAGTTGAGGGTCGCGGGTTCGAATCCCCGTCACACCAAAAATGCTCGCCCTTTCAGCCTTGGGGGCGTTCTAATGTGACGGTCAATCCCACTATTCGTTGGTAAAAGAGTAGCCCAAGAGTTGGCGGTGGGTGGTGATGACTAGCTGCCTTCCCTCTAGTCTTACACTGCTAAATTAGGGACGGCTAGCGCAGATAGCCCTCGTGTAGCTTTGCGCGAAATTAAAAAAAAAACAAACAAACGTTCAAAATTAACTAAAACAATTATTTTATCTACCTCGATCAGTTCCTGATAAAAGTAGTCTACTGTTTCAGTTGTAATGAAGATATTTAAAAGTCAAATTAGCACAGCTTGTCGATTTTTTTCTTCGACAAGGAAGTCTAGTTTTAATGTGCGTTTTCCCACGTATTCCACAAGTATTAAAACAATATTTTTTTCTTTAAGTGTTACAGTCATATTCAATAAGCGGAACGGTAGTTTTATGTAACAAAAGTCGGTAGAGAGTGCAACTACATAAAAATAAAACTACTGAGGGTAATCAAAGTACACGAAGTAAACTTAACCTGCAAACTGTCTGTATCGGGTAAAACGAAATGAGTGATTCAGTATAATTTCAATTAACATGTTCGCTTTTTATGGTTAAATCAACGAATTACAGATAATTTAAAGTCACACTCCAACAAAATGGAAAACTACTCATACAATTACTATTAGAAATTCTATGGTTATTTCAATCACTCGTTCATCTTCTTCAAAAGCTTTAAGTGTCCCCTCCGATAAAATTAACAAATATGCTTCTTTTTTCCGCCACAGTGGGTTGTAGCAAGAATAATAAATCATTTTACTTTCTTTACGTTCATCAAGAACAAATATACACGTTCACAGTTTATGTCCTCGGTTGTCAATTATCACCATCAACTTGGGTATCAAAAGGGTGTTAGATGAATTGAGCGGAAAGGGATCTTATTAGACCGTTGTTCCCATACGTATAAGGAAATTATGCTCAACTGATGACTTTTAAAAATGGGGTTCAAGGGACGTCATAACTGATTCCAGTTAGAAAGATGTATCACATTGCTATAAGTTGTACAATACACGCCACACCGGAGAGCATGTTTTCGTGTAATACTTCTGTCACAAAGCCTAAGATATGCACCTATACAGTGGTCTAGGTTGTTCATTATCAGACATCCCCACCTATTTTCACACGTAATACCTAACAACTAGTTTAAAGCTATCCAAATGCTAAATTGCCTCAATATATCATTACTATAGCAATCTATCAGCAAAGAAACCCAATAACCCTATCGCTTTAAGAAATTGAATTTTCCTTCATCGGGTGTAAATGACAATAATAAGCCCCTCTTTCCGAAAGCGCTGGGGTTATTGATTTTCTTTTCTAATACTAACTTTTTTCTGTTTATCATACATGATTTTGAATATCATGAGTGAATTATATGTCTTTAAAGAAAACCTGACATAAACACGTTCTCATTCGGCCCAGCATGGCCTTTCACCCGTGGGGGCGTTATAATGTGATGATCAATCCCTATATTCGTTGGTAAAAGAGTAGCCCAAAAGTTGACGGTGGTTGGTGATGACTAGCTGCTAAATTAGGGACGGCTAGCGCAGCTAACCCTCGTGTAGCTTGGCGCGAAATTAAAACAAACGAACATTCTCATCCTGAACACTCAGGTTTTGAAAATGCTTCACAACAAACTAAGCAATCATTTTTATTAAGTATTATACTCTCACAATATGCCCAAACTAATAACGAAAGAAAAAATAATGAAACATTACTTAAACCAATTAGATATTTTGTAAATTTTGTAAAAAAAAAAATTTATCTCACGATTTTCCAGCAGCTGACTGGTTTACAAGTAGTTTTTCCCTTAAGCCTAATCCCTGTTAAGAGTTATCAGCTGATTAAATAAGCTTTCTGGGAAACCGGTGTTGTCTACAGTAACTAGAATGGAGCGTATATTTACCACAGCCAAATCACTAAGCTAAATATCATAGCTGTCAAACATGTGCCCATCAAAGAAGTACTGGGACCTAAACTTGATTATGACTCACACCCTACTCAAATTACCCCTTTAAGACCTTGCAGTGTCAAAAATAAATAAAAAATATTCCATAACATTACTCGTACCCTATGCAGTTCAGTTATCGTGTCTATCCATGTGTAAACGATATACAGATGTTCTCAGGGTATTGGTTTGTTTATTTTGTTGTTAAACGCAAACCTACAAAATGGGCTATCTATGCTGTGCCCTAACCAGTAGCGAAACCCATTTGTTGTTTTTGTTTATCGTTATAAGCCCACAAGCTTACGGCTGAGTTACTGGTGCTAGGGCAATTCTTTGATGCGACTGTCACGTAGTCCAAATCGAATCATGTACAAATGATTACTGTTAATTAATAGTTTGTACCTCCTTCAAAACTAAAGGAAGTATCTCTATTATGAGTATTCTCACTTTGCCCTTGCGTACGTAGTATGTAAAGAAAGAAAAAATATATTTGTATTAGTTACTAATAATAAAATGTCTTTAATAACAACCAATAGACCTTATTTTTTATCCATTTTTCTTAAAATGGTCTATATCAAAATTTTCAGATGATCTTTAATTACTGTAGTCTCCATAAAATTATGGGCTAATAAAAAGGCGTGCTTTTTAGCTGCTAAAAATTATACTGAAATATTAAACTTATTACAGCGTTAGCCACACTAATAAGTTCAAACAGTTGAAATAAGAGTAATGGCACTGCTGAGGCCTGCCTATTCAAACCCAGATTCTGTTCAACGATTGACAGAGGGGCTTTCTCTAAATCTAAGTATTTTATTCAGTCGTTCGCTGTTGTGATCAACCATTCTGTGCCAAAGACGTCGAGTCAACTGAGCGAAAGAAAATGCTTAGAATTATAGCAAGCCAGTTAATAATCGCCAGGTTTGAATAGGTAATATTGTTACTCTTAGAATTGTAAATTTATTTTAACCTGTAATTCGTGTTAAACTGGTTAATATTCAAAGTTTAGAAACTTTCCGCGCAGCTAAAAGTTGAATATATATCAAAGATAAAACTTTAAAACATATTAATATGACTACTTGTTGAAAGATATAAAAGCCATAACTTAGACAGTTATCAACACAGCTGTTGCGTGTATCGTGCATATTTACATACTAGAATTATGACATACAACAACGCTACTGCTGGGTGTACCGTGTACACTTACATACTAGAATTATGACATACAACAACGCTACTGCTGGGTGTACCGTGTAAACTTACACACTAGAATTATGACATACAACAACGCTACTAGGTGGTTTATGTACATATATAAACTAGTATTACATAGCCATCTCTACAGACACTGGTTAAAGCATAAACAGCTAACATATTACAGTTAATATAAACAGGAATTGGTTAAATCATGAATGAATGTGTATCAATGCTCTTAAACTTGGATACATCTGTGTCTCAATATTATAATAATACAGTAAAGGTATATGAAGCTACAAGTCCCAGTACAAGTTATAGACAAGCAAAAAGTTGAAAGTAAACATATAGTTTGAATCTCATAATAGTTGAAACGTTAAAATCAATATTGAGAATAAAAAACACATACGCCTTTTTTTTTTTTGAATAATGAAGGATAAAATTTCTATTAAAAATTTTCAGAGCTGATGATGGTAACTGTTACCAAAGCTAGTCGGCTGAAACATTTTAATAAAGATTTTATCGTTTATTTCACCAAAAAACATCGTTTTTTTGGTTGTTTTTTTTTCATCTACTCTTAATATAGTAGTACAATGTGCCTGAAAAGAAACGGTAAAAATGAGTGTTGGAGTCCAATACGCTAACACTAACGATTAAAGTTTCTGTAAAACGGGTACGATAGATAACACAACTAAGCATCACTTTGCGATTATACAGTTGAAGCTTCCAATACTTGAAGTTTGTTGATAGGAAAACCGCAGTACGACAGCCCTGTTTTCAATAAAACATTCTACTGTAAGTGAAAGGAACATGTTCGGACATGTACACACTCACATCGTTTTTACACAAATGTCAAAATCATATCAAGGTTAGGGGATTTTTTTTCTTAGTTTATCATTACACAAAACTTAAATGTAAATTATTTTAGAGCTACAAATTAGTTCGTAATAAATTAATCAACCTAGAATACACAGGAGATATTTTAGTAAATCAAACGAGGAACAAACGAAGTGTGAAAATCGACGACAGATAGCTGATTTCCATGTAAAGAAAAACTTTTGCATGCCAATACAATTATCATATAATCCTGCTACACTTTCCGAAATGTAGGATTGTAAACACTGATAAGGGTAATTACAGGTATTTAAAAAGTTCGGGCTCGGGCCCATAGGCGCAGGAATTTTAAGCGTTTCGGTATGCTGTCGATCATGGTTTTCTATTATGATTTTTCAAGACAGCAACTAGGGATTCGGGACATGGGTCAGTCCCGAAAGACACCTCAGAGGGTAGTCTACACGATTCAAGAATAATATTAACAGATCATGAATATCAAATAACTACTATATGTATTGTTGCGTCAGCAAGGTCACGTGACTAGTATCACGCCACGTCCTTCTCTCGAACCTTCGTGAATTATCGGGAGACTACTAGATTGGGGGTAAGCTGGTATATATAAGAGGGTCACAACGTGATGAGGTAATGAGTAATTGAACTGCAGTCAGAGAG